CCGGTCTGTGTAGCCCGCCTGTTCCTCACACTGCTCCCAGCAAGTGACCAGGCGACTGTCCTGTAGCCGTTGGCCGTAGGGCATGACGTCACCTTCCTGGAACAAGTTGAGCTTGCGGACCTGTTCACGGGTAGGTAGGTAAGTAGGTAGGTAGGTGGGAAGGTAGGTAAGTAGGTAGGTAGGTAGGTAGGTAGGTAGGTAGGTAGGTGCGCGGATGAGTAGGGGGTAGGTAGGTAAGTAGGCAGGCACGTAGTTAGGAAGGTGGGTGGGTGGGTGGGTAGGTGGACAGAATAAAACGTTTCAGGCTTTTACCCTGTAGCTCAAAAATAGCTTGGCCGACAACTGGGACCTTTCTTCAGGTACACACACACACACACACACACACACACACACACACACACACACACACACACACACACACACACACACACACACACACACACACAAACACATATTCTGAAGTGAGCAGCATGCATCACCTGCTCTGGGTTGGCACCGAGATGAGCGGCGACGTGATCTAGAATGTTCTCGATGGCGAAGATGCCCTGCGGTGTCCCGGCTCCGCGGATGGACGTACGTGACTGTATGTTGGTGCGGCACAACCGGCCCTCAGCGCGGACGTGAGGGATACGGTACGAGCCGCCGATGTTCAGGAGGGTCCTGGTGCAGATCTGAGGGAGGGAGGGGGTGTCATGGGGTGCAAAAGGAAGGGGGTGGGTTGAGTCCAGGGTGTGGGGGGTTGTGGAGAAAACGAGTGATTACAGTGGGACTTCAAGGTTTTTGTATGTTGGAGTTAGCACAAAATCATCAAAACTCTGGTATTGACCATATATGGGTGTGGGTATGGATCACAAAGAAAGAGAGAGAGAGAGAGAGAGAGAGAGAGAGAGAGAGAGAAAGAAAAACAGAGAGAGAGAGAGAGAGAGAGAGAGAGAGAGAGAGAGAGAGAGAGAGAGAGAGAGAGAGAGAGGGACAGAGAGACAGAGGGGGGGTGGAGAGAGGGGGAGTGTCTGCGTGTGCGTTTTGTCTGTGCGCGCGTGTGTGTATGGGTGTGGGTTTCTGGAGCGACATGGTCTCTCATGAGAATGTAATTTGTCATATGAATCATTTTTCAGCTGTGCACAGAAAGGAAATTTATCTACCCATCGATCTATCTATCAATCTATCCATCTATCTATCTATCTATCTGTCTGTCTGTCTGTCTGTCTGTCTGTCTGTCTGTCTGTCTGTCTGTCTGTCTGCCTGTCTGTCCGTCTGTCTGTCGGTCTGTCTGTCTGTCTGTCTATCTACCGATCTATCTACTTATCTCTCATTTTCTGGACGTCGCTCCACCGGTCTTCTCTAGTTCTATTTTTGTTTTCCTACGCTTGTTCAAGTTAAATTATTCAATGTCGAAAGTCAATCAAATTTAGAGATTCTTAAAACTGCCTTATCTTGAGCACAGTAGCATGTAGTAATAACAACAGTTCGTTCGTCAATGTCTGACGATGACCGGTGCATCCAAAAGGGAGAATATCAATTCTTGACCGAAACAGAAAAAAAAAGGGATAAGATGACTTGTACATTCTGCTATGTCCAAAGAGACCAATAATTCTAGCTGTGAAATGTTTTCCCGTGTGCGTTTATGTGACGTCAGTCACAACTCCGTGACGTCAATCACAACTCAATGATGTCAATCACAACTCACACCATCAGAAATCTCTCTAGTAGCCCCACAGTTGAAGTACACAGTGGCCTCCATAGCATTGAGCTTGCCCTGGTTACTGATGCCGACCTGGGGAAGTGACCACAACAGTCGTTGTAAATGGGAGTGGACGTGTAACTGTATGTGTGTGCATGTCAATATGTGTGTATGTGTGTGTGTGTGTGTGTGTGTGTGTGTGTGTGTGTGTGTGTGTGTGTGTGTGTGTGTGTGTGTGTGTGTGTGTGTGTGTGTGTATGAGAAAGTGTAAGGGTATGTATAATGTGTATGAATGTATATATAAACTTAAATATATATATAATGATATGAACATATATATATATATATATCTACTTACGTTGCGTATATTTATATATTCAATGTACGTATATCGATATCTATATAACATATGTGTCTCTCTATAAGTATCTAGTATCTCTACGCGTGACAGTTCGGAAATGTGTGAAAGACAGCAGCGCAGGATATGGTAGACCAGTAGTTTAGGTAGTGTTCTCTTATACTAGCAGCTCTCAAGTATCACGACCTGGGCTCCGCATGATCGAGTGAGCAAGGACTGTAAGCATAAATCTAAGGCGACGAAAGAAACAGCAGAAATCGACCACTATTCAATGCTTAGCACGTATCATATGATGCATGATAGGCTTGTCGCGATAACGAACCTTGAATAAGGCACATTTGA